AGACTGCCGCTGCCTTGGCCGTACAGATGAGCAAAGCAGCTGCAGTGGTTGGGACTGCTCCTTGGGCACTGCAGGTAGGAGCTCGGTCTGCCAAGATCTGAGTGCTGGTTAGTACCAGCCCCTCCTCCCTTCTCCATCACGATTAGATTCCCAGTGCCCAAGCCCCACAGGTGCCCCTGCAATTCCTATGGGGCACGGCCAGAGTAGGGCCCCATGAAGTGACCTCAATTCCGGGGAGGCTAGATGTTGGCCCTGGGCTCTTTTCCCGCTGGAAGATCGTAGGCTCAGAGGCAACCTCTTGGTTTGGTCCTGCACGGGCCTGGGGGAGGGACAACGTAGCCAGCGGGAAGCCGCTCCGCTTATCCTGCGAATGTGACGTTTTGGTCTCTGTGGTGCAGGGGAGGCTTTAGCCCACCCCCGTTTTCTAGAATTCTCGCAGTGGTGTCTTGTCCGGTTTGACAAGAAGAGTTCATTCTTTTTGCGAGGGGAGCAAAGTCAAAAGGGACCTATGTCACCATCTTGGTGACCCCACTCTCCTGTGATCTCTCTACTAATATTATTGATCAAGGCTCTACCTTTATGACCCCACTTAACGTTACCTCCAAGAAGGCCCTATCTCACATACAGTCACATTGGGGGCAAGGGCTTCAATATATGAACTTGGGGGGGGGGGCACATTCAGTCCCTAACCAAGGAGTTTACTGATGCTGTGTAGTGGTCATCGGGGTTGTTTCTTGAGAAGCTTATATAGGACGGTATTTTGGGGTCTTTTCTCTAGCTCGGGTTAGATTCTCCTGAAGAGCCTTTCAATTTCTGGCCTGTAGGGAAAAGGTCTAGCCTCCAGCATTCTGAAAACGGATTTGGGGAGGAGGATTCAAGTGTCAGGACTAGTTAGTATGCATGGGCTCACTTCATCATCCTGTTTTATTACCCTGACCTTCAACTTTGTCTAGCGTTCTCTCATCCCAAGGTCTGTGTGACTCTCTTCAGAGTAAACTGCAGACTATGGCTGGGGTGGGAACAGAGCGTCTGCTCCGTGGAGGAAATCGCATGGGGACCTAATTGCTGTCAAACAACTGCCATCAGTCTCCCTTGTTTTGGCGGCTACCCTTGCTCTCCAATGTGTGATGGTGTCAGTTTCAGGGGCTTTGAAGTTCCGTGGTATAAATCAGCGGTCGCCAACTGCTGGTCCGTGAGGTCAAAAGGTTGGCGACCGCTGGTATAAATTGTATTGGCTCCAACCTTCTCCACTGCCCAGTAACGGCTGAGTTACTACTGTCCACCTGCTGTACAGCTTCCAAATCTTATCCCTTTTGTCTTTTCTTTTGTTCTTCCTGTTCTTGTAGATTTGTGGTGTATGTTTCTTTTAAAATCCTCCTTAGTCTTGTGTGAGCTTAGGGTGGGAGCAAAACTAGAGAAATATTCAGTCCTCTTATTTTAACCTAGCTTCCCTTCTTTTCTACGACAGTACATTAGTTTCAGTTCTCTAAGTAGGTTGATTACTTACCGCTGGTTTTCTTTCCACATTGTCCCTATTCTCAAGTTCTTTATTTGGATGTATCTCTTGGCAGTATTTTTTCATCAAGTAGTTTTTCAAGTTGTGCCAAGAAGTGGCATAAGGAAGGTGGGGTGGAGGGCAGACAGTATCTGCTAGGCAAATGTAGCTTCAAAAAACCCCATGCCTTTTCCCAATCCAATTGCTAGCCCCAAACCCGTTCTTTTAGAAATTCTAGAGCCACCATTGCCCATAGGTACTAGAATCCTTGAAGCTTTGTGAGTTTTCAAACGTCAACGTGTTGCCTTTATACTCAGCTCTTCACTCACTAGCTGTGGTCTTGGTTAATTTACTTACCTGTTTTGAACCCTGGCTTCTCATTTGTAAAATGGAGGCTGTAATTCCTGCCTCAGAGAATAGTTGTGAGGTCAAGACTAGGCCTAACTGCTCAACAGATATTATTTCCCTTTCTTCCTCTTTCCCCCATTTCCTTCCTTCCCTTTTCTTCAGGTAGATGTAAATGATCCTTTGCCTGCTGCCCCAACACCCCAAACACGCAGTGATCCAAGACCCTAGTTCTTGCAAAGCCAGACAGAGGCAGAAGCAAGCCTCAAACCCAGGCAGCTGGCCACTAGGCCTGCTTTTTCTTGAGGGGTCCAAGTGCTGAGCCCTCCCCCCATCCCCCACCATGTCCTGGTTGGGACAGTAACTACTGTCACCTTCCTGGCGCTCCCATTTGCTAATCTTCCGGACAATATGAGCCCTGTGCAAGCGGATAACTTTCTCTGCAGGCTTTATCTGGCAAGGGAATCTGTCTTGAAGCACTAATGTCTATCAGGGGAGAAACCGTAAGGTACCGTCACCTCTAACCTCAATAAAAGCATGTTACGCTCCAGTACCTTTCAGTGAACCGGCAGCTTGACATTTTGTTTGATGGGACTTGTTCACGATCAAACGTGCTGCTGCCTTAATGGAAAAGGCCAAGCTGCCAGACAGGTTTCTCCTGGACGCAAGTTACGAACGCAGGACTGAAAGACTTGGCGGTAGAAGGAAAGGGACACGGAGATAGCCTGCCGTGGCTGCGTGACTGCTTGTAGACAAAAACTTAAAGCAAATCTTATGAGTCAGTAATGTGTGCAGCCCTCATGCTTAATCATTCTAGCTGTTGTGAAAATAAGAATATGAAAGAATATAAGATATGAAAACCCTCCTTAAGTAAGCTGTGGCAGCTGCAGACAGTGGAACAGTGGGTAGTTATTAAAAAGGCCGAAGTAGAGCCATGTGCTCTGCCGTGAGATGTTGCCATTATTTTGTGAAGTAAAGGTTACAGAGCAACACATGCAGTGTATTCTTTTAAGTAAAACTGATTGTGTGTGTGTGTGTGTGGGGGGGGGGGGGTGGCGGGTGAGATGGATGGATGTTCATCGCAGTGCTTAGCACGGTTGCCTGTGATGGTGAGACTTCAGGTTATCTTGTGCTTTTCTGTTTTACTTCAAATTTTTTCCACAATGAGCATATGTAATTTTTAGAAAAAGCTGTTTTCATTTAAATAGAAAGAGCAGACTGCTTTGCATTCTCTCCTGATGAAGCCACTCACGCCCACTACCTGCCACTATAAACCCTGAGACAGGACCTTCCTCGCAGGCTGGTGGTTGAGGGTGAAATCACAGGAGCTGTTGGGTCCTCTTCAACGTAAGCTGACTGAAACCTTTTCTCCCTAAGAAAGGAAATGTGAGGTAGCGGAGTGAGCCAGTCTGAGTCACTGGCTCAGGTTTGACTCCTAAACCCATTTAGCAGCCGAGATGGGGTTGCCCACTGGGCCGCTCCAGGGGCACGAGGCATGTGAGTGTGCTGAGCTAGACATTTTATAACTGGTTCCGACTGGAACGGGGCAGCGTGGTGGCCCTGTCTGACTTTGGGCCGGTGTCCTTGCTTGTTAATTGGGGGAGAACAGTGCTCACTCTAGGGCTGCAGTGGGGATCACATAAGTAAAGGACACCAGGGATCTGGTGCAGGGGCAGCGCACAGTGGGCCTGAGGAGGTGGTAGTTTCTCCCCTGAAGGAGGAGTGGGCTGGGTACACAAGGAGAGTGTTCGAGGCCTGTGAAGACAGAGGTAGGAGACAACGCTGCAAACTTGGATGCGGATGGTTTGCTACTTTTGCAGGCATGTATTTGATTGTTTGTTTCCTTAAAAAGCCTGTAAACCTAGTTTTTGGAGCTTCTTCACAGAATAAAACACGAACGGATTGCTGGCATACAGAACTCTAACCCACAGAGATGTGGCCCCACCCCTCTGCCCAGCCCTCAGGACTCCTTACGGGGACACAGCTGCCAGCACACAGGGGAGACCAGCAGCCACACTGACATCGGACAACTTGCTGGGGAGCCCCCAGAACTGTAGGGATATTTAAACATGCTTTTTGCTGTTGGGAGTCTCAGCTGGTCTCTCATCCTTCACAGTATGGTTTTGTCAATTTGCAAGCCTAGAGTTCTGTGAATGAAACAGAAGGACCGACAGGAGGAAGAAATGGCCTCAGAGACCAGATACTATTCTCTGACACTGGCAAAAAGTCAGATTTTACTGCCAATAGAGAACTTTGTTAAAATGAGCCAGAGTCTGCCCCGTTAGATGTTAGTAACAGCTGGGACTTCTGGTGTTTTACACTCCACAGGCCCTGCTCTCAGAACCTTACACGCATGAGCTCATTCAGGTCTCTGCATGAGGGAAGTACTCGTATGGCTTCCATTTTAGAGAGAGGAACTGTGCCGAGAGCCAGGGATTTACTGGCTCCAGGGCACACATCTGTCAGAAGCTACTGCATCAGAGTAACAATTGTTTCTATAGCAAATGGCATGGTTCATGCAGCCTCTCAAATGTGAACATATCTGACCCTCACATTTACCCTGAGAGATGGGTGTGCATCTCACGTGGGAAACAGGAAGCTGCTGCTCAAGGTGAGGGACCTGCCCACGAACCCCGAGTTAACAGAGGAGCCCAGGTTTGCAGAGCCTAGATCACGAGGTCTTTCATAAACTCGGGGGTCTGAGTTCTTCATGAATAAATGTTTTTCAATTTAATGATAGTCTCACAAAAAATCTTTGGAAATGAAAATTTGCAATTTTTAGAGAACAGGCTTTGTTTTTTGTTAATCCTCACACAAGGATATTTTCCACTGATGTTTAGAGAGTGGAAGGGAGGGGGGAGAGACAGCCGAGAGAGAAACATCGATGTGAAAGAGACATCGGTATGTTGCCTCCTGCATGCACCCAGACTGAGGCTGGGGATCAAGCCTACAACTGAGGTACGTGACCTTGACTGCAATGGAACCCACGACCCCTCAGTCTGCAGGCCAACACTGTCTTCTGAGTCAAACTGGCCAGGGCCATCTCAGTATTCTTTTGAGCCTGTGGAAATTTTTTCCTTTAAAGGGGGTTCATTCTTTCCCACATTTGAGAAACTGAGCTTTATTCTTTCACTGGGTGATGTGGATCTTTTTTTTTTTTAATCTCATTTTCTATTCAAATAGATTTCAGTCTGTTCTTAATTTTTTTTTTTTTTAACTCTCCAGGTGATATCACAAGAAGCTGAACTAAGCAGAGCTATTTGGTTTGAGGTGGTTGCTCAGCTGTTCGATACAGATCAGGAACCCAAGGTGCAGCTTTCAAAGTTTAATACAGAGGCCGCAGGGTCCTGCCTAAGGGATCTCTCTTATGAGGCGGCTGCTCTACTGAGGAGCACCCATTTCTGGGAGAGCCAGGCCGGCCAGGCCACCGGAGTGCCAAGTGCCACGAATGCCAGGAGAGGTCCTTGGCAGTCAGCGGAGAAGCTGGTTCTAGTGACAGAACGCTGCAGGGACTGCACCCCCGGGAAGCTTGAGAAGCTCCGCATCTTTGCTCAAGGCTAGGAGACTCACTCCTAGGCCGGCTGGGGATGAGCCTGGTAGGTACTCCTGAGCCCTGAGATGAAAATCCAGATGAAACAATGACTTATCCATTAGAAACAGGCAATTTTGTCTTAAAAACTTGCTCTAAACTGTAATTTTACAATGAACCTTACATGTGAAAGTCCTTTTACAACTTCACAAAGGACCTGCTTGCACCTCACAGTTTGATACATGTAGGTGAAGAGGACAGATGAGAAACTGGAGGTGCAGAGACTTCGGTGGAGGCAAGCCTGGGCCGGCACGCTCTTCCTTCTAGCTCGTCATGTGTGCTAACAGCCATCACAGTATATGCTTTGTTAGCTTAACAGTTTTATTTTTAAAGGAAACACACACATAATTGAGAAGCAGCTAAGTACCCTAAACTACGCTCATGGAAAGCCTCTGGCTCCACCGAGCCCACGGGAAGGCAGTGCCATTTGCCTTGTGGCAGTTGAATGAGACGGCAGACGGCACCCAGGGGGCAGTGAACAGTGTCACAGGCTGGAAACAACCCTGCAAATTCATGGCAAATGCCACCGCATTTACAGGGAGAGGATCAGCGGTTCTCAACCTGTGGGTCGCGACCCCTTTGGCGGTCGAACGACCCTTTCACAGGGGTCGCCTAAGACCATCCTGCATATCAGGTATTTACATTACGATTCATAACAGTAGCAACATTACAGTTATGAAGTAGCAACGAAAATAATTTTATGGTTGGGTCACAACATGAGGAACTGTATTTAAAGGGCCAGAAGGTTGAGAACCACTGCCTTATATGATCCTTCTCTGTTTGTCGGTTTTATTTTTTGTACCTTTGAGAAGAATCAATCCCATTTAATAAACCTTGTGAAACGCCACAGCAGCCGAGGGGCATAGGGTTCAGCCATGCTCTCAGGAACTGACCCTCTCCAGGCGGAGTCTCCTTAGATAACCTGGGACTTACGAGACAGTTCAACAAGGTGGAGCTGGGAGAAGCCAGTCTTTTTCCTATCTTTAGATTTGGGCCTGTTCCGCATTACCGTTTTTAGTTTTGCTTTCATATGAGTTGAACTCTTATCTTTATCCATTTAAAGCAAACCAAAATTCATCTTAAAGAATTAAAATGCAGGGAACAGCTCCTGTGGGAGGGCACCTTCACTTAGGGCCACACCACCTAAGACACACGCATGCCCGACTCCGCCTGCTCAGGAGAGACAGGAGGAGAAGCCAATCGTTTCTCTGGGCGGAGGTGCTGCCCACACTGGCCTGCAGTTGTAAAGAGAGTAGGAAGTAGAGACAAAAAAACTGTGAAATTGACATTCGTAATGGCCCACCGTAAAATGAAAAGGGCTGGTTTCAAGCTTGAAACATAACATATGTCAACTCCTCTCTCCATCACACAGTTACTGCAAACATCACAGAAACCAGAATGACTTGCAATAAAAGGAAAGCTCATTTTTGTGTGCTGGAATGCTTCTATGTTTAAGTCCAGAGTTCAAAATCGGTCAGTTTTCATGTGTTCAACCTGCCTTTTTGTCCCTATACCATATAAATAAGTTTCTCCTAACTTTGCTCCTACCCACCATCTAGTTTTATTTCATGAAGTATGGTACCCAAATGAGTTGACTAATTTGCTTTTGTCAGTCGGAGTAAGTCACTTGCTGGCCACATGCAGAATTTAGAAACTGGGTACATGACTTAGCCTTGAAAACTGGAGTGACTTCTTGAACACACAGGTCGGGGCACAGGAGCGCCGAGCGCCAGAGGCTCCATGCTTGGTCACCAGACGCCCGGTCGTGCCCTGAGAGCAGTTTCCAGTCTCCGCAGCTGCAGGATGAGGGTGAAGCTTCTCGCCAAGGGGACAGGGTAGGTCCATTTGCTTTGCTCAGCCTCTCCGTTGAATATTCAGGACACCTGGAATCTCCACTTCCTGCCAGAAACACTGCATCAGGTGGACTATTGAAGCTAATATTTTAGTGTCTTCACCATGTATGGGCCTTGTAACCGGTAGCCAATCTTTCTGTAATAATTCCTGGTGCCAACCCCTGTGAAGAAGCAAAACTATAAAAGTAAGAATCTCTAATATGCATAACCATAGCAACCCTCAAAAGCCACCAAACACTCCCTCCTAGCCACTCTCCCCTCTCCCACTCACAGACCACACTGTGTTTCAGACTGAATCTTACTTTAATAAGTTTGGACCATTTCTATTATTTTGAATTCAAGGTGCTGTCTTTCAGAGGCTGCATATGTGAGATGGCTTCACTCCAATGAAGCCCAACAGCAGTATGCTTTCTAGGAAGCTGAGAGACAAGAGGTGCGGGAAAACGGGGTTTCCACAGAGCGCCAGGAGCGAAGGTATGCTGCGCTTTACTCCCAGGGCCTACTCACTCCTCGCGGGCGACAACTTCAGCAAAATATCATCAGTCACATTAAATTAATGCAACTTAATTTCCTTAGTCTTATAGTTTTGTTTTTATTAATTGGTTTATTTTGATACATGATCAGTATAAGCACCTGGAGTTTATACCAGTTTTATGTTTGCAAACATTGAAGGAACATTAGCTAATTTAAGTCAATCCAAAGTACAACACAATCAAGAAGCTGAGCGCATAGGAAGATAAAGATGGCTTATGTAATAGTCTCTTAGAGGGTGGTTAAGAGAATGGGCTTTTGATCTGTTAGAGAAGGCCTGGACCTGTCATTTTATCGTCTGTAACGATGTTCCTATGTGTTAAGGATGCTGAGTATTCAATGAGGTAGTCCATGAAATGTGATTAGTCTAGAGCTTGGAAAAGGCCAATTCCTCAGAAACATTGGCTGTTATTGTTATTATTTTAAAGCTTTTCATGATCTAGTATCTGATTATATTTCCATCTTCTGCAACTACTCTCTCCTTAAACACTATGCTCCAGGCTGGAGTGAATTTTTAATTTTTCTAAGTTCCTGTGAGTGTCTGCCTCTTTCTTCATGTTGTTCCCTCTGGCAAATTAACTGAACCTCAGGAGGGAGTTGTGGGAACCTACAATTTATAGCCCTTTGGTTAGAAGCACAGGTAACAACCTAGACTCGTGACTGGAATCTGAAGTGGGAGCAGTCTTGTGGGACTGAGCCCTTCAGCTGTGAGATCTGACATCATCTCCAGGGAGACAGTGTCGGAATTGAGCTAAATTGTAGGACGCCCCGGTGGTGTTGCAGAACTGCCTGATGTGTGGAAACCTATACGTCACGGGTCGGCAGTGTGGTCGTATTCAGAGCACTTCGTGTGACGTTAATGACAACCAGAGTTTTCCTTACAGTGCTTTGCCCTCCACAATGGACCGTGATGGCTGGCCTGCCTCTTCCGCAGGGTAAGCTCCATGTATCTTGTTCATCACTTTGTACTGCTAGTGATCAGTATTGTGCATGAAATCAAGTTAACTGTTAGTTCTCTCAAGTCTGGCCTAATTCTTTGGCCTAAACGTTTGCTATTTAGGAATAGGATTTCCTACCCCCTTCAAAAATTTTCAGGTACTAAACGGAACTGATGCAATGGGGCTAACAGAACCCTATCTTGTGATAACAGGTCACTGGAGAATTACCCTTTTAATCCAAGGATTGCTGTTACTCATAACCTTGTACAATATCACCTTGTCTTTGCATTCTAATCATTACTCTGTTCAACACTGTGGCCTGGGCTAGAGCAAGGAGAAGACATGAAGACTAATGTGTCAGGCAGTACAACTCAGACCACTGAATACAGGAAGACTTCTCAAAACCCTCAGAGGGGTATGGACACTTTATCAGATCCTCTATCCATCAGCATATCCTATGACCCAGCATTTAATACTGTCAAGTGAAAAGAATTCTTACATCCAACAAATGACATGTTATTCATAATATTCCCAAAATCTATCAATAGAATAAATTGTGGTATTTTTTAAAAAATGGAATATTGTGCAGCAATGAAAAACGTACAGCTATCTGCAACAACATGGGTATCATACCTTGTTTTGCATGAAAGAAACCAGATATAAAAGATTCTATTGCCCTGGCCAGTTTGGCTCAGTGGATAGAGGGTTGGCCTAAGGGTTTGATTCCCAGGTTAAATCCTTGCCCTGGCCAGGGTGCATACAATCGATGTATCTCTCTGTCTCCCCCTCCTCCCTGCCTTCCACTCTCTCTAAAAATCAATGGAAAAAATAACCTTGGGTGAGCATTAAAAAAAAAAAAAGATTCCATCAGATAAAGACAAAACTAATTTTATGGTGACAGAAATTAGAATATTGGTTACATTTGGAAGATAATATGGACTGAGAGTTCTCAAAATGTATCTTGATCTGAATTAGTAGTTACATGGGAACATACACATGCACAAAGTGGTACACTTAAAATGTATTTTATTGCATGTATGTTATATCTCAATTTAAAAAACTCACATCCATTTAATAGAGGTTTCAATATGTTTTAAAAGCTCTATTTTGCCCAAAGAATTCTGTGAAAGAAGGCAGGAGGAGCAGGAAGAGAGTCAGATGGTTGAGAAATCACTGTCAGAATGATCGCTCTATCACACAGATGCCCCTGGAGTCATTCAATGCAGCGCTTTCCACTTCTAGAGTCCTACCTGCTAGAAACGATTCTTCCACTTCCCCTTCTCCCACTTGAAAATCCACATTCAAACTGAACTAGGCTCTGTGGCATAGCAGCATTCAATAGAGAACAGGAACATCAATGTTAAAACCCGACTTTTCCTCATCTTCAGTTACAGGTAGATACTATTAGCATGGGCAGGTGAACTAAGGATTTTGATCAAAGGAGAGACAGAACTGACTTATATTTGAAAGAGATCGGTCTGATTGCTGTTTTGAGAACAGAATGAAAGAAAGCTCCAAGAGGTCAGGGAGTTTGATCTGTTCTAGTCACTGCAGAACTGCTAGTACCAGGAGCAATACCTGGCACATATTTAAAAACTCCAATATTTTTTTTCAATGAATAAGTGATCAAGGGCAGAAACAGGGAGACTGGTTAAACTACTGGGATAATCTAGGAAGATATGGAAGTGGCTCAGAGCAAAGTCATGGTAGTGAAAAGTAGGCGGAGTCTGGAAACATTTTAAGGCAGAGTCAAAAGAAAATAATTTGTTGATGTATATGGTGTGATAAAGAGAGGGGTCCAAAATGACCCAAAGGTTTTTGGCCTGAGTGACGGAAGGGTTTGGAGACAAGAGAACTTGCCACTTATGAGACTGGAAAGACAGTGAGGAGGAGGGATGTAGGAGGACATCGGGAGCTCGGTGCTGGCCATGCTGCTGAAGAAATGGCTGTTAGATATTCAAATGGAGATGCTGAGCAATATGTGACTTTGGAAGCCTTTTTTGGTCTTAAAAAGAGAGATGGAGAAAGATGGTCTCTCTTCATGGCTGTTGTGTTGGGAAGTAATTTCTGCTGGGGCAGGTGTCTTGCAAGGGGACCTGCCTGAGGATGAAGATGTGGGGAGGATGGCAGAGTAGGCAGATGAAGACAACCTGGTCTCTTATTGCTACTGCTGAAACCATGAATTCGCCCAACCCTGAAGCTACTCTAACGATGAAGTTATGAAATAATGTTTTCCATTTGGGTTAAGCCATTTTTGGGGGTAATTTTTTGTACTGTGGTAAAACAGATAACATTTACCATTTTAACCATTTTCAAGTGTATAGTGGTATTAAGTACATTTACATTGCTGTGCAGCCCTCACCACCGTCCATCTCCAGAACTCTTCATCTTGTAAAACAAACTCCATACCCCAATCCTTCTTCCCCGTCCGTCTCTGGCAACCACCACTCAACTTTCTGTCCCTATGAATTTGGTTACTGTAGGAACTTCTTGTAAGTGGGATCATACGTATTTGTCCTTTTGTGACTGGCTTATTTCACTATATCTTCAAGGTTCCTCCACGCTGACTTTAAGCCATTTGGGTTTTCTATTACTTACTGGAAATATTACAACTGGCACGTCAGCTTGAGGGCACAACTGATAAACACATGAGGTCACGTCACCATTTAAAATCAGAATTCAGCCCTGGCTGGGGTTGCAAATGGTTAGAGTGGCGGCCAGCGCACCAAAGGGTCGTGGCTTGATTTGATTCCAAGTCAAGGGCCTGTACCTGGGATACAGGTTTGATCCCTGGCTCCGGTCGGGACACATATGGGAAACAACCAATCGATGTATCTCTCTTCCCTTCTGTTCTCTTTAAGGATCAATGGAAAAATATCATTGGGTGAGGATTAAAAAATAAATCAGAATTCAGAGGGGGTAAATCAGACTATGCTACTCTATTTAAAACTGCTAAGGGCGAGTCCCAAGATAAAGCTCAAATTCCTCGGCCTGATATACAGCCTTTCATGCCCAGTCTGGTTTGCCCTTCAGCTTTAGTTCCTGCCACAAATGACCTTTCCCTATCCAAAAAGAAGCTGGGATTCATAACCCTGTCTCGATGCTAGCTGGTCTATCGTGTTGGTATTCATGCGGTGCTTTATTTCACTTTGGGGAGCACCTGCATACTGTCTACCTCCCCTCCTAGAATGTAAGTTCTTTGAAGTCAATGATGTCCATCATTAGGACTTAGCACAGTGTCTAGCATGTAATCAACACGCAGTAAATGCTTGCAGACTTACTGTCCAGGCATTCCATGTTTTATTGTGCTTCGTTTTACTGTGCTTCACTTTAAATGAACTTCACAGAGACTGTGTTTTCATCAACACTGAGGCAAAGTCCTCCACCAGCAAAAAGATTATAACTTGCTGAAGGCAGATGAATTAACACCATTAAAATGTCCATACTACCCAAAGCAATCTATAGATTCAATGCAAACCCTATAAGAGACTAATGAATTTTTTCACAGAACTAGAACAAATAGCCCTAAAATTTATATGGAACCACAAAAGACCCCAAATAGCCAAAATACTCTTGAGAAAGAAGAACAAGTTGGATGTATCATGTTACCTGATATCAAACTATACTACAGGCTACATTAAGCAAAGCAGCAAGGTACTGGCATAAAAACAAACACACAGATCAATGGAACA